TTCCAAGCCAGAGAAAACGGTGGCCGCAGTAGCAGCTGACACCATAGATCAGCCAAAAACGGGCTGTCTACTCGGATGTTACTCCCGAGGAGAAAATCCGAGTGAACAAACATCACTCATTGGGGGACAGGAAAGCAGTGGTACTGTTTGACACCGATGCATTCAGTATTAGGAATAAGTGGGCAGAGCTGGCCAGAGTGGCTGCGGGAACAAAGGCCTGGGTAATTATCCAGTCTGAAACGTAGCTAACGCAGGACGACCACATACCAGAATCAGTCCTGAGCCGGTTCACAGTCCACAGACAGGACAGGAAAGGGGGCGCATTGGGAGGTGCAGTAGCTGCCCTAGTAGACAGGATATACTCCAACATGAANAAGACAAAATAGCGCAGTGCACTCGAAATGTCCAGGTGTGTTCAATTTTGAACAACTCGAGACTGCACTATATGACTTCCACACCGCTAGTCCAGCTATTCCCGAATCCCCGGTGGGGTTTGGGCAAGTGTGCAGAACAATTGGTGAGCTCAACGCCACCAAATCCGCGTACCCAGACGGCATACACTCAGCCTTAGTTAGACACAGCTGAGGTTCTAAGGGGCTAATCTGCCACCCGTACAAGAGAACTCTAGAGCAGGGCACGATAGCACAGGACTGGAAAACGGTAACTGTGGTCGCGAGGGAGAACAAGGAAAAAAAGATGGAAAACTATCGTCCAGTTAGTCTCACAGGCGTCTTGTGCAATGCGCTAGAGCAAATTATCGGAACCCACTTATGTGAACACCGCACTCAGCACCGCTTGCTGAGTGCGGCACAGCATGCGTTCCTGAAGGGAAAGTCTTGTCTTAGCAATCTGTTGCACCTTTTAGATGAAGTCAAAGCGAGATTGGATGAGGGTAAGGAAGTGGAAGAAAGCATTGGGCCTGTCGAAGGCTTGGGGTCTACACCCACAATGGACAATCTGGCTCCGGCAATGGTTGTTGGGCAAGGTTGTATCCGCCGTTTAGAATACATGCGTCCGCATTCCCCACCAGGTTGATGATCACACCCCCTGCCTCACATACAAGGTGTTTTAAGGTTAGGTGCCTAGCGTGTAGTCGGTCCCACATGAAAGTGACCAACGTCTGAATAACATAAATAATACAAACCAGTCAGCNACTCCTTCTTCAAGAAGTCAGTCCATCTGTATCGATCTATGAAACAGTTTATTTATAATCCATTTGTCGTCCTACTGTATTGCACTTCCTTGGTTCGACCGCAGCTCTTCGTCTGAAATTCTAAAGCTTTCATGTTTGTTACCCTCGTTCTATTCTTCGAACTCGTTTCCGCGCATCATCTCCCTAGCGGATATTGGGTTGTGTCTTACCCAATTTTCTTCATAAGACAATCGTTCACATTGATGTGACCTCCATAACAGATCACCCTCAGTACTGCATTATATGGCCTTGTCTGCTTTGTGTTTGTTTTTCACCGCAATGCGTGGTTACGATATCTCTTGTACCCGTTTGAAAATAAAGTTCTTACCATCTCTGTACAATATTTTGTTGTTTGGACCGTCATTTTTTATATTGTACATTTAATCATGCGCACTAGCATATTTCACGGGCTTCGTGAAGTATACCGTTATTATTATTATTTCACTCAGTATGTCATCGCTTACTTTCGGCCAAGGTAGATGCTCTAGAGATGAAGGGTAACATCCACAAGTGGTTAACAGCTTTCCTGATCGATCGGATCTTCCGGGTTAGGGTCGGAGAAGCGAAATCGTCAGTGGAAAATATTGCTAGGAGTGTTCCTCAAAGATCAGTCCCAGGTTCACTCCTTTTGTTGCTTCTCATCAATGATCTTATTGAACACCTTGGCTTGCCTAGCTATATTTGCGGACGACGTCAAGGTTGCAGGATCAAATGGGAGAGCGAAAGTAGGGAGAGACATAAGAGAAGTGCTCAAGTGGTCAAGTACGTGGGATTCGCCTCTCAACGTAGGAAAGAGATATGTCTTGACCAGTGGAGACGAGGGGCTGATAGTGGGAGTTGGTATGGCGGTCTTTCACTAGGAACGACACAGAAAGCTAGAGATTTTAGAATCCTAGTAACAGCAGACTACAAATGGGCAGAACAGTGTGCCGCAGCGGCGCACCGTGCCCGTCGAGGGCTTTTTAGATTGAGGTAGGCACTACCATGTAGGGAACCGGAGGTATTATCACCTCTATACAAGGCCATTTTTCGACTTCACTTAGAGTATTGCATATAAGCATTGGCTCCCTTTTTCAAAAAGGACGCCGCTCGAGGGGGTTGAACGATGAGCCACAAGGATGATCGAAGGACAACGAGGGAAGCCGTATAATCAGACTGCAGGACCTTGGACTCTTCTCTTGGGAAAGAAGACTCCGAGGTGACTTGATACAGACATTCAAAATAATGAATAGCCTATCAGGGACGGATCAGGCAGTGTTCTTCGAGAGGATGCAAAGCAATACTAGGGGGCACATGTAAAAGCTGAAGAAAGTGTGCACGAGACTAGCGGTGCGTTCAGACTTCTTCAGCAACAAGGTAGTCAACTTATGGAATAAGTTACCACAGGAGCTGGTGGAGTCAGGGAGCTAACATATGTAGCGCAAAATATAATACATATACGAATAGTACAATAGACTATCCGAGGATCTAGTCAACTTGCCTAGTGTCCACGCCTTCAAACTGGCTTTGGATAAGAGGTGGTTAGAAGTGTTCCCAAACGAGGAGTTCTGAAAAGGATAAGAATGTTAGGTTCATAACATTTTGTGTGCAATATGAAATGCTTTCACATTAAAAGTATCACGCCGACACGACGAGAAGTAATGTTTCTCTTTCTCTCAGTTTGCAGATAGATGAAGAAACCGATCAACGGAAGAGGTGGATGCACATTAGTGAGCACACCACCAAGGGAATTCTGGACTCTCGAGTGGCCGTGGCTACTACCAGCTCTGTGCAACCTGACCTGACCTGACCTGAGCTAGGGAACGTATATGCTTTCAAGAAGGAGCTCGATAAGCGCCAGTTGATTTTATTTCCTGAAGTAGACTCATAGGTTAAGATCTGGAAACAGTGGTAGGTTTTTTCAATTACTAACCACCCCAACAGAGGGATGCCTCTAAATGTGAGGTCTCTCGCCTGAACAAGGAGAGAAGATATNCTTTCTCTTCCCTTGCAGAGACAGAGACGACTGGGATGAGAAGAAAACGTGTAGAACTACAATATTGAACACTCAAGGTGGTGGAAGCTAAACCGCGGCATACTGCCGAAGGTACTCTGGACGCTCGATTGGCCGTAGTCATCTCCTGTTTTGTGCAAACTGATTGATTGACTGACCGACACTGGCGGTACGTTCAAATTCGGTTGTATTCTCGCTGCTCTGAATTACCAAAATTTTTGCAGTGTGTATTTGTCTCTAGATTGTGCAAAACAATTTATTGACAACCGTGTAATAAGTAAATATCAGTGCGATATTATTGTTATATCTTTTAACCGCACAGGTTAAGAGCGAAATATTTTTGTTCAGTGTTTTGACGATTTTTCTCGAAATTTTTACCTGCATTCCGCTATAAGAGTCGCACGTTTATAGTTTTACCCGCATTTCATTTTGCATACGTATTATTCCCTCGCTAAAATGCCCAAGGTTAATTTTCCATGTTCGGATGCTGCGTGTGGCAAGAAAGTGGCTAGAGGCATAGAATGCAGTGTATGTAAGCGTTGGGCACACCAAAAGTGTTCTGGTATTAAACCTGAAACATTTAGTCTTTTCTGTAAGTATACAGACTTGGAGTGGATGTGTACCACTTGCAAGACTGCAGCGTGGCTGGCTTTCAGTGCTAAGACGGGCGGAGAGAAGAAAACTCCTCAAACAGTCCACAAACAGAAGTCCACAGGTCTAAGTGTAGTGGGTAAAGTTACCCCCAAAAGCTATGCTGAAGCCGTTACCACGCAGGGGAGCGGTGGAGGAAGAAACCAAGGCTCACAGCCAGGACCAAATTCCGCACGAGTAAACACAGCCGCAACAGAGAAACCGCGAAATAAGTTCAGAGCTAGTGGTATCCGTGCACCGATCAGTGCGCAGAACCCTCCACTACAGAAGAGAGTGCAAAACCTCACGGTTCTGGAACTCCAAAACAAGGTAAACCTGCTCAGCAGGGAGTTAGACGCCATATCTGGCAGGGGATTGAGAAACTGTAACAGAACAATACTCATACTCAACAACGAAGAGCCTCTAATCCGGGAGTCGAAAACCCGGAGGGAAATGGATAGAAGGAGGGCGGTAGATATCCTGCGGCTGGCAGGATTAAACCCCCAAAATGCCCTCAAAAGAGTGCACAGGGTGGGAGTGTGGAAGAACCCTGTGCCGGGTAGGCACATTTCAGCTAGGCCGATCCTCATGGAGTTCAACAATCAGGGCATGCGAGATCTGCTCCTCACGAGGGCCAGTTGGATAGAAAATCGTACACAGGGACGATTTAGGTTAGTCCCCGA